CTAAGAATTCCCGCAGTCTTACAGATTACATCACTCCACATGTAACGGAAAACGAAGCAAGATTTGTTTTTTGCCTGGCTTTCACGGGCGCTGTCGCACGTTTCTTTGACACTCGAACAAAGCCGACTTCAACGCAAACACCGCGGCTGCCGATTCCCGCTGTCCGTCCGCTGTCCGCTAGTGCAGTGGTGAGCTCGGCAAACAGAGCTAACCCGGGCGTGAGTAATTCACTTACGCCGGCCAGGTGGCTCGATAAAAGGCGTCAGTTCATACCCTGTCACCCCTTCCGCCTCAGCCTTCAAGGCTCTCGCTTGTTTGCTACGTTTATCCAGGCCGCGCTTCTCAAGCTCGTGTTTTCTTTTTTTTTTCTCCTTTTTTGCGTTGTACTTCTTGACCGCTCGCTTCTTTTCCTTTTAATGCGCAAGTATTCTATGACTTTGTTTTCAGTGCGCCTGCGTGCACGTTACTGAGGCAAAAACCTTATGTGCCTCATCAAAACGCGATAATTAACCGTCGGTGTCGACACGACCGATGCATTAAATCACCAAGAGTTGACAATGTCATATGACGTCATGCCCCGAGTTTGTGACGTATTCACGACGTCAATATGACGTCACAGGTGGACGTTCGCATGTGGACGCCGACACACGACAGCGTCGCTTGCACAAATGGTGAGCAGATCACGGAGGCAATTCGAAATCGGGTGACGTGAAGAAAGCTTGCAACGCTTGCAATCTTCGAGGCATTGCAAAGCGACGAATAGGGGCGGGAGTGGTCAACGCATCGACTGAGAGGAAGATGTTTTTCTCGTTCCAGTCACCTTGCGCGATTTGGATAAGCGACGTTGCGAGTTTTAATAAATATATTATTATGAGTGTTTCTGGGTGTATAATATATTTTTGCAGGCTTTTCACGAAAAAGCTTTTAAATGCTTTTCACAGTAACCGGAGCCTGAAACTAGCCACCGAAGCAGCGAAATTCAGGAACACTTAAAGTACTTGACAATGACTGCATCAGTTTCAACGGGCCAGGAAAGACCACTGAACCCGTTACTTGATTATTCTTATTTCGAGCATTTACGTTCCACCTAAAAACCCACCGCCGCGTCATATGCACGTGCACTAATATACGCTCGACGTTATGCAGGGCAAGCAGAATTGGAAGCTCTAAATGAAGACTCGAAAAAAACTAAGTTGGAAGCAGCTGCTGCAACCACTGGTAGCGTTACAAAGAAACCACTGTGATCACCCCTCTGTCAGTTAAAAAAAAGAGAGAAAGCCTGGCCGTATAGAAAGCCGTTTATTTAGGGCGCTAATGCTTTATTCATGCTAGCTGCTGGCTCCTTGGCATTCTTACGCCTGATATTTGCAGGCTGGTGCCTCTCACACTTGTTTTTTTTTTCTGATTCCCGGCTTAGCATTGCACTCTCCCCATTTTCTCACCTCGTCTCACTCAGATTTCACTTGTTTTCCTTGCGGTGGGAAGCCATGACCTTTTGTGTGAGGAGGGAGATCCGTCTGCTTGTTAGCCTGTTTGCTTTCCTCGCTTACACGCTGAACGTTGCACTTGCCGCATTTGGTGTTTTCCCTTTATTACTGGGCTCGTGGTATTGCTTAATTACATGTTCTTTTTTCTCGCCGATGCAGCTGCCGGCGCACGAATTTACGCTGGTCCACAGTGGCGTCTTCGAACAAAGGTCTCCGGGTCTTCTTCTATTGAGACAAAGGTTGGGCATTCTCCAAGAAAGCGTGCCGCGCAGTGGCTAGCCGGGTTCCTACAACACCGCCAATGAACGGCAACAAAGAAAGAAGATAAAAAAATCACGCGAACAAGTGCGTGGATAGCCGGCTTTCACGTCCAGCCTGGCGAAGATAAGTAGTAAATAGCGCAAGATAAAAAAAAGACAAAGGCAAACAAAAGACGAGAGGAGGAAAAACTATTTAATGTGGATAGAAGAGGCTCGCAGACTTTGTCGATGTTCCGACCGTGTTTTCCTGTTCTCCTTGCATGAACTGAGATTGGATGTTCGAGCCAAAGCAAATACGGGATGCTCGTGGAACGGAGACAAGGAATCCATTGTGCCCAACAAGGCCGTTGGCTCGGGGGATCCCTAAAGTAGCACCTTGGGTAAACATCGCCGCTCGTGCGGCAGGAAACCTTTGTCTGGGTTCCAGCGAGTCTCTGGAAAGCGGATGGTCGGTGAGGCCTTGAAGTGTCTCCGCGAAGCACGTGTTCTCTTCATAACGTTTGCCTCAAGCAGGAAAGAAACAAGACAAGACAGGTTTTTTTTTTGCTTTTAATTTCACCGTTAAGTATAATGAGGCACCAGACATGATGCCGTGTGACCATCACGCCAAGATATCGAATTAACTCAGAAATAAGCTTCACTCACCATAGAAAACTCGCTTCAACATTAGAACTTACAGATCCCGGCCACCGCAGTCGCATTTCGATGCTGGATGCCCATGTACTGTTGCATATTGGTACACGTTAAAGGACAACAGAGAGTCCAAATTTCTGGTGCCCCCCCCCCCGCCCTCCTATGGCATGCCTGATAATGATTACCACGCTTTTGGCACTCACGTGATGACATGTGAATTATTGCTAATGTTTGGCTAAGAACAGTGAAAACCGCTTGAGAGGGCCAAGATGGGGTGAACATGGGACGGATGTTAAGGAAAGAAGAGAAAAGGGCAAGGCAATAAATCCGAAGTTATGGAAGCAACCGATGAGTACCGTTATCTCATTTCTGTTTGAATGTACGCAAAATGCGTCACTCAGTTCATGAAAACTGCCAAAAAATATCTGCACTGCAGCAAACTACGAAGCCTTTAGTGCTCACTTTACGATGGGCCATTAAATGCGTGATATCGCTTTGCACAGCTACAAGATTAGCATTAGTTTAAAAATTGTACATTGAGCTCGACTCGATACAAGTTTAATTTGATATTAATAATCAAAAACTCAACATAGCAGTGCCTTTTTTTTAAGTTCGCGCTGCTCACTGAGGTATGAATAGGACTTTTAAACTGGCGCAGCTAGCCTGCTTTATAATTCTTTTTTTTTGTTATCGATTCCGAAAGCCGTGAAACAGGTCACCTTTAAGACGGGTACTTGTTTTGCCTCTTGGCAACCGCATCTGAATCGTCAATAACTACTACGTGGCACTTCTTTTTGGTTACTGCCACATTTCTCTAAACATCAGGGTACGGAGGTACTCGCACTGTTCAGGCTAATATTCAAAGATTACGTGCCGCATAATATGAGCTGACGATGTTATACTGTCGACATCAGTGAATTCCAATTAAAAGGTTTTATGTAGCGGTTGAGATGCTTAGCTATTGGCCCTGTAGGCCGCGGGACTCCGTCCTTGCCGTGGAGGTTGCATATTCGATCGAGGCGAAATGCGAGAGATCAATCTACTGTACGGTCTCACTCCATGTTAAATATACTACAGATGCTCGATATTTCCGGAGTCCTTCACTACGCCATGACTTATGATCATAACGTGGTTATGGCACATAAGACTGAAGGTATTATCATGGCTCATGGTCATAATGTGATTATAGCAAGTAAAACTCAAATATTTATCAGAGACACTGTCCACCAATCAATCATTCAGTGGAAAAACCCCTTAGTAAAATGTAATCGGAACGCCGATTGGCCTGAAAGACAAAAAAAGTAATAAGAGGGCCTGTATTTGCGTGTTTCTCTGCAAATGTCGTCGAACTTCCGTCTGCAGAGGGCATAACAGAAAGTGAATAAAATGTTTATTTGATGTCCTGAGCGATAAAATCGGTGAACGGGATTGCGCCATATGGCAGTAATCTTGGAAAACGAAAGGTTTTGTACATAGCCTCTGATATAGCAAGCGTGCGATATGAGTATGCCATCTCGGAGGCCATAACGTTTAGAATAAAAAGCCATAGGTGAGTGTCAGCACCGTATCTTCTTAGCAAAACGTAAGAAACACTTGTCTTTTTTCGTGCACAGCGTCACATTGTCAGTGCAGCGTAATCAACGCTACGGTTTTTAGATTTACGCATCTATGCCTTTTCTAGAATAAAGAAAAAAACACCATAAAACACTGACGTGTTGACATTGTGTCTCAGATATGCGCTGTATTTGCTTTTTAATCGACAATGCGCACTCACCTAAACAAGATTGGCGGATGTTGACATAGTGGTTCTAGTTTGGCCTTGCAGGAACGTTTCGTTTGACAGACAGACAAGACAATTTTCGCGTTGGAGTATCCTAAGAAATACTATTGTTTTTAAAAAATTCACACACGTCCACGAAGTCGAAGTTAGTCAAGACGAGTGGGCGAAGCTGCCGTAATCGTATTGGTGAGTAACCGGTACGAGCGTTTTCCATATCATGCGAATTGAGCGGCATGAGGTGTACATAGAAACGTAAATTCATTTCGCTTTCTCAAGAATACGTCCTCTTATCGGTGGCAAGATAACATTTTAATATGGGTAATTTTTCGGGAATACAGTACTCGACGTGTTCCATTGTTTTACAGGTTTCCTTGAGAAGCCTAAACGACTAGGCACATTTTTATAGAGATCAACTCATCAATATTCTTGTCCATAAGCTATATTCACTGGGAACAGCAAGAACCTTATAAATAGCCAATGTATACGCTAAAGTGTACTGTAAATCATTTATTTTTGTGTGTGTCTCCCATATATTTCGGCATTAGCGACGGTTCTACTCCGTGACCACAACGAAAGACAAGGCTAGGTGCTAAGGAGCTTCGCCCCTATAAACAAACTAGGCAGCGCCATTTTTTCGTCCAACGGACTTGTATAGTTCAAGGAGATGTCTCACGAAAAATTATATAATTTTCGTGCATAAGATTCCCGTGTTAACGTCGGGTTGAAATAAGCGGATGGTGGAAATTGTATTTCACTCTTTCTGATCACCAGTTGCCGTGGTGAATAGACTAAAAAGAAGACAGTGAAGGAAGAGTAACTCACGAAAGCTCTGTCAAGTACCTGGCTTGTTGGCGGCAAATTCCCTGCTGTGCTGGTGGTGCTTGATGGCGTTCATGCGCCGAGCTTGCGGCACAGGGGGCGCCGATGCCGTCGCCGTCGTGCCCGCGCCGGGCGGCTCGCCCACAAAGCGGCGTCGCTGTTTGGGCAGCTTCTCGCGCGCTTGCGTGTGCGAGTAGAACATGGTGAAGTTGGACACGATCACCGGCACGGGTAACCCGATCGTCAGCACGCCCGCGAGCGCGCACAAGGCACCGACGAGCATGCCCACGTAAGTTCTGGGTGCCATGTCTCCGTAGCCCACTGTGGTCATCGTCACGATGGCCCACCACAGGCCCTCGGGGATGCTGGTGAAGTCGTTACGAGGGTTCGCCTGCAGCCTCTCGGCGTAGTACACGAGGCTGGCGAATATCACGATGCCAAGCACGAGAAAGAAGACCAGCAGGAAGAGTTCCTTGGCCGAGGCTTTGAAGGTGTGTATGAGGATCTTGAGCCCGCGCGAGTGGCGCGTCAACTTGAACAGCCTCAGAATTCGTATGATGGAGAAGAAGTCCAGAATGTCGGCGTTCTCAAGGTCCGCCGCGAGGTGCTGGAGCAACATGTCCGAGTAGAAGGACATGGTCGCGATGAAGTCAATGATGTTTATGGGGGCACGCACAAAGTCGAGCTTTCTCGGGCTCACCACAAACCGGATGGTGATCTCGAAGGTGAACCAGGCGTTGCACACACTCTCGACAGTAAAAGAAGGCGTCGTGGGCGTCCGTCTTGACCTTGTCCAGGACCCAGGCGGTCGTGTTGCGCTGCGTGACGGTCGGTTGACGATGACGGGCACCCGCATGTTTGGGTGCGTCTTGAGGCAGAAGGACAGGATAGAGACGCAGATGAAGAAGACGGATATGACGGCCATGACCTTGGCGGCCAGAGAGGAGTAAGGCTCGTCGAAGAGCAGCCAGATGCGTGGCTTGAGCCGCTGCCAGCATGAGAGCTTGCCCGCGTAGTAGTCCTCCTCCACGCCGAACTTGCGAGCAAGCTCCTCATCACTGGGCTTCTCGTTCTCAATGTCGAGTGTGTCCAGGATGGCCAGGGTGGCCTGCGTGTCTCTGTACACCGTGTACGTCATCCAGCAGCAAGGTTCGACCTGCGCATGCCAGGTTTGACAGCTTGCGGAGCATGAAAATAATTTATCTCAAATGGTATCTGACGTTTAACTTTATGCATCGCAAAGGTTTCTCTACCTCTAAATGTCACGCCGTTGTAATCCTGTAAGTCACAGAGTTGCAACTATTCTCTCAGAGGGAAATGGTTTTGCTCAAACAAAGACGATGTTCACTAAGTACTTAGAGGTTTGCCTGGTGACATACCAATTGCAGGATACTCCAGCTAGCTACTGTGAAGAATGAAGAGACGTACAACGATGCACAATAATACACACAAAAAATGTACAACACACGCCGCAACACTCGTCAAACCAAAGTATTTCAATAAGACCAATGACTTTATTAACATGCTGAAGCGAATTTGTTGCGTGAGATGCACAGACAGTAATAGACTACGAGATGCATATGCTTCTTAACTGAAGTGATGGCTGTGATGTTCATTCTGAAGTCGCATGGCAACTGTCATCACAAATAGCGTGTAATAACTCATACACCAAGTGGTGCTGATGTAGGCAACATTAGCGGTGTATACCTGATTGGCATCCAGGCCCCAGAACTCGAGCTCCTCTTCGAACAGCGGTCCACACACGTTGGTCGGGTAGTGCAGCTTGCCGGTACGGTAGTAGTTGAGTATCTGCGCGAAGACGCCCGGGTGTCGGTCGAAGAAGTACTCGTTCAGCACGGGATCGTAGTTGGCGAGCGCCTCGGTGAGCCTGGAGAGGCGTGTTGCGGGTATCTTCTTGAGGGTCGTCTTGTACGTCTCGAAGCGTATGCCGCCCACGTTCAGGACGACGCGGTTTTCCACATCCAAGGTGCCGCGACTGTTGCTCGCGTGGTGGTACATGCTCTGGCGCCTTCAGGTCGGCATGTCCTCGGCACCTGCATTTCAGAACGGCACACAGAATGTAACAGCTTCATCGTGACAACTTCCTTTTACGTTCTGTTCTTAACATGTAACGTGCTTACTTCCGGAACCTACACTCACAGCGCGTATCTGCAAGAGACATGCGCTGTGGGCGGAAGTATTATGCACGTATACTGATGAAACCACAAGTACTGTGGGGACGTTGCCTGACACCCTCTACAACACAATATTCATGACTGTTCTCGCTAGGATGGGCAGCAACGATCGCTCGCATTTTTTCTGGCTCTCCTTGACCAGAGACATTTGTTAAGTAGCAACAGTTCTGGAATGTCACGCTGAAAAGCCGTTGTCGATGAAGACGGTGGCGTCATCGTTAAATTTTAGAGAATACTAGCGGACTCACAAAAGCACCGCGCACCGTGCAACAGTGACATTGACGTTATGTGTGCGTTCTCTGCGTCTCTAACTTTCTTAACAGCTTCTTCAATGTCTCCCACTACCCATACCCATGTGACCTCTTCATATCCTTCCCCATTGTTGTGCAATATACCAGTTCAATGTAACAGAGAGTTGACTGACTGATATGCGGTATTTAACGTCCCAAAACCACCATATCAATATGAGAGACACCGTAATGGAGGGTTCCGGAAATTTCCACCACTTGGGGTTCTTTGACGTGCACCCACATTTGAACACACGGGCCAACAGCAGTTTTAGCCTGTATCGAAAATGCAGCCGCCGCAGCTGGGATTCGATCCCGCGACCTGTAGGTCAGCCTGCCGAGTACCTTAGCCACTAGACCACCTCGGTGGGGCTGTAACAGAGAGTTGATAGATAACAATGTAACAGAGTGCTGATAGCTACAGTTGGCAAGTATTCATTCGAAAAGACTGGACGTGCGAACACGGCACCAGAAAAAGTGGACACCATGATTATCTTGACTTCTCTCGTATTTTCGTGTTTGCACTCGCAGTCTGTTTGAAAGCATAGCGGTGACACTAAAGGCATTAGTATTCCTGCTTTCACCCTCTTCTCTTAAGGTCCTTCATCTCTATCATTTTGGAAAACGTGAATCGAACAAGCATCTTTATAGCTTCCCAATGAGTAAAAAAATAGTTAGAAGAACTCTGTGTCCACATGTGCTAAATGGTGGTGTTGATGTTCTTCAGAGCATAGTTTTTGGCATTCAGAAACGCACCTTTTTCCTGTCACGTGTTTCAAATCATCGCGATGGTCGGGTAAGGTATGCGATGTTTTGGCACGGCGTTGTCCGAAACCACGCACTTTCATAACAGCTGCTCGGTTATATAATGGTCACGTTCACGTCTCTACGTATGGTCATTTGGCGTCCGTTTGTCGCACATACGTTTGCCTACTACGCACAACATGTACAGAGAAAGCGAGCTCATGCAAGCGCATCAGGCATGCGTTTATCTCCCTTTCCACCTCGTAGCCAGCTCCCCCTTCCCCATCACTACCACCTCCTTGTCGTACCTCTACGCCGTGTGCTCTCTAAGGGACTTTAGTGCTCTCGCCAACGACACGCCAGAGTGGCACTCGCGCACATTTGACCAATTTCCACGCTGGACGCTGCAGCAATCGCGTTGTTCGCCACCGCATAGCGCCTCGGGGGCCAGAAAGTAGCGAGCTCGTCGCGTATCTACAACGCAGTTTTCGCTAGCGGCCAACTCTAACGACGTCTCGTCTACCCGTCGACACAACGGTGGGACCAGGAAGTAGCCGTAGATTAGGGTTAGGATTTCGGTAACTACTATGTTTCCGCATACTGCGCGTGTAGGTCTGTGTCTACGTGTATAAATGCACGTTTCTTCATTTGGGAATGGACAGAGTTAGTTGCGCGTCCGCAGCTGCCGTACAGACGCAGCCTCCCACTGCGAATGACTGGCTGGCTGCGTCCACACGACTGCTGCGGACGTGGTACTAAATTGGTCTAATGCATGTAGGTACGTACGTACAGTAGGCTTGAGAAATTTAAAGACCAATAGCTTTGACAAGTACCTTGACTCTTCCAACACTTTGTGAGTACATTCACCTGTGCATCACAGCACATGTTAGCGCATTTTAGGAGAAGACGTAAGTCTAAATTTGTGGCTGGAGGCTGGGGCAGCGGGAATATTCAGATTTTTCTCGTGTATATGTCGTATGTATGTATGTATGTATGTATGTAGTATGTATGTATGTATGTATGTATGTATGTATGTATGTATGTATGTATGTATGTATGTATGTATGTATGTATGTATGTATGTATGTATGTATGTATGTATGTATGTATGTATGTATGTATGACGCGTGTTTTATGACACCTTGTTGTGTACGTGGGTGTTTTTGGTGGCACGTATTATTAGTGTACGCATATGAGCATTGTATACACCGTACTCATCAGGCGACATGTACAATAGCAGGTCAGGCGGCAAACCAAGCTAACATCTCCGGGAATACCATTTAATATTGTGTACATGTACGTGTTCTTTCGTGCGACTGGTGGCCGTGCGCCTGCGTTTGGGCTCCCGTGATCGCACTCACAAACTATATAGGAGGCCGCGCGTTAAACAGCGGGGCAGGCTACAGAGAAGACAAAAGCGTCACGAAACGAGGAACGGCGCCGACCCTGCCATAATCGATGCCCCCGCCGCCGTAGACCAATGCGGCGAGCGAGCACATGCACTTCAGCGCAGGTGTCGAAACAGAGAGCTCTCCCAAAGAGAAAGCAATGAGGGTTGTCGGTAGGGGGCAAGTACTACGCGGTAAAAAAAAAAAAGGCTTGGCAGCAGCCCGAGAGGTCTCCTCCGAATTCGTATATCCGCCGTGCAGCCTTCTCTCCTATCAGAACCGGCAGGAAGGGGGTAAAGTCATTACATCTCGTTTGGCCGCGGCCGACAATTTCGTCCCAGTGCTTCCAAGCCGCGTGAGAGACTCCGGGAAGTGGGAGAGAGAGCTCGGTGAGGAGGATGGTGGAAGGGACGAACAAGAGGAATAACCTTTTCGCCCTCCTTCGATCCTCTTTTCCTCCCCTTTCTCTCCCGCAGGCAGCACCTTCGCAGCGCCGCGCCAAACTGGGTTTTCGCTGAATCAGGCCGCACTCAGTGCGGAAGAGTGAGTCGACCCGCCGCGCCGATCAATCAGGGACGAGCTGGTAGGTCAGCGCCGCCGTAGCCAAAGCAAGCACTTTTTTCTCTCTTCCCTCCATCTCCGCCTCCCACCTTTGACACCTTGCTGTAGAATAAAAGTGGCCATACAGGCGGAGGGAGGAGAGCGTTGCTTTACCCATTCAGGTACAGACTCAGCTACGGAACATGTACTGGCAGCGACATTAGTGTCTGGCACTAGGTAGAAATATCGACACCTAATGCAACCTTGCTTCTCCTGAGTTTTCATTCGACGCCAGACACGAATGACTCCTCACTTCTTTTTTTTCTTTCGTGTTGGCTTCTCTTCACCCTCTGTTCATTTCGTTTGCAGTTCGCCGTACTTCTTAACACACTGGTGGTCAATGGGGAGAGGTTCTGTCAGTGAGAGCCTACAGGAAGGCAATTAGTCGAGGAAATCGGGAAGCGCTAGAGTGTTTGTAGCGTCTCTGTTGCTGTTTGTTTTTTTTCTGACGACAGCCTGTTGATATGTTCACTGAACGCTATATCGAGTCGCTAGCTCATCTCATTGAGAACAGAAGGACGAGAAAACAAGTGGTACAACGGGAGCAGAAAACAAGCGGGATTTTATGAAAAGGACAAAGAAGGATACTCGGCAGGTGTTTACTCTTGCACAGTATGGTCAGACAGCATATTGAAATTCGGCGCAACCTCAGTCGGAGCTCGGGCTTTCGAACTAGTCTCCCGAACAGGAAGTCACCGAACAAAGCGGGAGATGGTCAAAGAGTGTGAGAGAGAGGGGGGGGAGGCAACGGTTTTAGTGGAGAGGCTTGCTCGGAGGCGTACACCTCAATAAAAAATGTTCAAAGTGCCTTCTTTTTTTTCTTCTATGAAGTAAGGAAGGATTCTATGGTGGGTTAGCTGTGTGAAACCTCCAGTTTCAGCACCTACGAATTCGAGCGAAGCATTTAATCTCAAAGACGTGACACGTCACCGCAAGCATTTACCGAGCAACTAGTTAAAAAAAGACACGAAGGAGGAGGAAACAAGCGCTCTTTACTTGGTGCAATACTGCGAAGAGGAAAAATGAAAAGGGTTCACGTTCTCGCGGCTATTCGACCATCGACGATCGCCAAATCCCATTGCGACGATTACTGGGCAGACTTTGGTTATATTGCACCGAGAACGCCCCTTCCGTTTTACTATGCCCTGGGGCGCTTTCCCTCAAGACGTTTGAGCATTGCGAGCGAGTGATACCCTATTTCCCGATTCTCGCATTTGCCGTTCTCACTTCCATTTTTTTTATTTTCTTCTTCTTTTACAGAAGGTCGTCGTCCTCAAACAGTGAAGGTGAGAAAGGTAATAACTTCAAAGATTTCGGGGATGCCGAGAAACTCCTACCGAAAGAATTGCTGTAATAACGATGAAAAATCGCTGAACAAGGAGCCGAAGTTTAGACAAGAGCCTCCGTCAAGCTGGAAGCTACCCTACATAAGAGCGTGTTCGTGAACGATGTTTTGGCCCCGCCGCGGTGGTCTAGTGGCTAAGGTACTCGGCTGCTGACCCGCAGGTCGCGGGTTCGATTCCCGGCTGCGGCGGCTGCATTTCCGATGGAGGCGGAAATGTTGTAGGCCCGTGTGCTCAGATTTGGGTGCACGTTAAAGAACCCCAGGAGGTCAAAATTTCCGGAGCCCTCCACTACGGCGTCTCTCATAATCAAATGGTGGTTTTGGGACGTTAAACCCCACAAACCAATCAATCAACGATGTTTTGTTGCTGTCGTCTAGAACAACATATAGGTTCCAAGAAGCGGCTAGAACAACATATAGGTTCCAAGAAGTGCCATTTCAAGTATATTACTTTACCGTTTAG